TGCTCTGCCTGGAAGCTAATTGCATAAAAAAATAGATGGGGGAGGAGAAGGAAAAGCCCTGACTAGACTTCGCCCTCACTGGGAGAGTTGGGTGTGGAAGGGATGCAGGATCAGGGGGTTATGCTACAGGGCTTCTTGGGATACTCTTGTCTGAAGGAGGCTGCATCATACTGAACCTAATAAAGCGCCATGTGAAAACGGAACTGAGCTCCAAGCTCCTGGTGCCCCTGGAATTCTCTGCTACCCCAGTTTGCTGGGAACTGTTTTGAACTTTCTTTTTTTAAAAGAGTGATTAATCACACAACCGAGCTTGAAATCAATCCAACTGCAATAAAAGTGCCTTAGCGGAGTCTGCTCAGCCTAGTGAGCATTGTTTGCAGCAGCCTGACTTCAGGCATCAGGAAGCTCTTGTATTTGTTAACTTTCCAGCTCCCAGTTCCTGACTGCAGGAATCTTAACTGTTAACATCTGTACCCAGGGAAAGGCTTACGGAAAGTGACTCCCTCTTTTTGTTTTATTTATAGTTTACTTTTCATTAGAGTTTCTACCACACTGGTAGCTCTTACATTTCCCCTCAAGTTATTCCTCCAGATAGGGTTGCCAGATGGTTGTAACAAAAATACCAAACACCTGCCCCCTGCTCCCCCAAAAAAACAGCAGGAAAAAATTCTGTTAAAAAAAAAAGAGGGGGAGACCAAAGTTGTTGAGCAAAAAAAAAAGGACTCCAAGACTTATTAAGCAATAAATAAATAAATAAAATAGCATTAAAACAGCATGTCCCCTTTAAGAGTGCAAGGATAGGAACAGGTTAGATAGACATCTGTCAGGGATGGTGTAGACAGAGCTTGGTCCTGCCTTGAGGGCGGGGGGCTGGACTCGATGACCTCTCGAGGTCCCTTCCAGTCCTACGATTCTATGATTCTGTGATTCTATGTCTGGATGTGGAAGGAAAATCACGTACACCGAGTGAAGGGGGGAAATTGTGTTCTCATTTACATGGATATAAATGCCCTTGCGGAACCAGGAAAACATGGGGGCTGGGGTCGAGGGGCTGGGGGTGTTGGGGGCAGGAGGGAGGAAGCTGTGCACTGAGTGTTTGTAGGGTTGCCAGGTGCCCGGTATTTTTGCCTCCTGACCAGGGAAAAAAAATCAGAAAATACAGGACATCTCAGGTGTCTGGTATTTTCTAAATTTTTTTACCGGACAGGAGGCGAAAATACCGGACAGTTCGGGTGAATACCAGACACCTGGCAACCCTACCTCCAAAGTAAGGGCCCAGTCTGGCAAGGTGTTGGCCTTCTTCACAGCCAGCTCTTGCCAAGCAAGATTATTCTAACAGTGGGTGGGTGAGATTCTGTGGCTTGCATTGTGCAGGGGGTCAGATTAGATGATCAAAATGGTCCCTTCTGACCTTAAAGTCCATGAGTCTATGAGTCTAAGCAGATTTGAAGGTCTTATTCCTGTGGAGGAGCCCCTAACATCCTTTCAAGATCAGCCCCCAAAAGCCTCTCCATCTCCTCCTCTTCTGCATGCGGTTTGCCACATACGACAAGATGGTGTTTTCCCACCGTATGAAATTTTTACAACCAGGCACCGAAGTGCAGAGAGGACAGACTAGTGTGGCTCAATAATCCCTTGTTGGTTTGGTTTTTAGGATCTAATGGTGGCAGCAAGCGAAATTATCGTCTCCGTAAAACCCAGGTCTGCCTCTCTACTGGGGGCATGGGCAATGGTACACACACCATCCTCCGCAGGGGTTCCCGTCACGTTAAAAAGTTTCCCAGGGAAATTCCTTGTGGTCCTTTTTGATCATTCATCAACCTCCCTCTCCCTGCCATTACTGACATACCAAAAGAGCTCTCCTATTCATCTGCATCCGCCCTGTCAGTGATCAGGTCTGTGGCTCTATACTGAGAGGGTTCAGGTACTCAGCTAGGACCCACAATGCTGGGATTCTATTCCCAGCCCAGTGACTGACCCACTGTGAGACCTGGGCAAGTCCTTTCCCCTCCCACCCTTTGTTTGCCTCGTGTAATTAGATTGCCAACACTTTGGGGCAAGGACCGTCTCTTGCTATGTATCACCAAAGTTCCTAGTGCAAAGAAGCATTGATTTCAGCCGAGGGCTCAGCGTGCCAATGCAGTGTTAACAGCAATAATACTGCAGGCAATGGCAAGGAATAGCCCAGTTGTGTGGTTGTTTTAAAATACATCCCTGCAGCTTGGAGGTTCTCTACTGAACATGTTGCAGTGATCTCCTGATTGTTATGCTGCTTCTAGAGAGCTCAGCAGGATTTGCTCTGTTCTTTCTATCTTACAAAGGACGACCAATCCAACATGTTCACCCACAAGCCTGATAAACAGCTGGATTTTAATCACACATAGCACTTGTAAAGCTCTTTCTTTTTTTAAAGCACAGTGCAAACATAAATGCATTAGTCTTTTCAACATCTATTTGAGAGAGGTAAGTAAGAACTATTATCTCCATATTACAGTCAGGGAAACTGACATACACTGTGGTTAATTGATTTGTCCAAGGCCACACAAAGAGTTAGTGGTACAGATCAGACATTACCAGCTCCTAATCTTATGCTCCGTTCACCATACCACATTACAATGGTGATCCTGGATTGTTATAACCAGACCAAGCATTAGCAGTGGATAGGGCTATAATTAATGTGGCAGGATTAGGGTCCTACTAAATTCATGGCCATGAAAAACATGTCACAAACCATGACATCTGATCTTTAGTGTGCTTTTACTCTATACTGTTCAGACTTCAGATGGGAGAGGGGGACCAATGTTTCTGAAACTGGGGGTCCTGGCCCAAAAGAGAGTTGCAAGGAGGGTATTACTAGATTATTTTAGGGGGGTTATAGTACTGCTACCCTTACTTCTGCATTGACTTCAGAGCTGAGCGACTAGCGTTTGGTGGCTATTACCCAAATCTGAAGGTAGCAGGCTGCCAGCTGCGGCACAGAAATAAAGATGGCAATATGATACTTGCCACCCTTTCCTCTGCGGTGCTGCTTTCAGAACTGGGTGGCCAGATAGTGGTGGCTGCTCGCTGATGGCCCAGCTCTGCAAGCAGCAGCACAGAAGTAAGGGTGCGAATATCGTACCATGCCATTCTTACTTCTGTGCTGCTGCTGTCGTGGTGGCTCTGCCTTCAGAGATGGGGTCCCAGCCTGCAGCCACCACTCTCCAGCTGCTCAGCTCTGAAGGCAGTGCCGCCACCACCGGTGACAGCCCAGTAGTAAGAGTAGCAGTACCACAACCCTCCTGCCCAATAATAACCTTGTGCCACCCCTCCACCCCTGCCCATAACTCCTAAGCAATTTGTTCCAGTGCTCAACTCCCTTGACAGTTAGGAAATTTTTCCTAATGTGCAACCTAACCACCCTGTGAGGCAAATTAAGCCCAGGCTTCTTGTCCTATCCCAAGGAGAATATTTTTTCACCATCCTCCTTGAAACTGTCTTTTATGTACTTGAAAATTGTTTTCATGAACCCTCAGTCTTTTCTTCTCCAGACTTAGCTGTGCTTGTAACATTGCTTAGTTGACAGGCCTGGCAAAGGCGGGGACGGGGGAGCAAAAGGAGCAATTGCTCTGGTGCCTAGAGATTCAAAAGGGCTCGGAGCTCCCAGCCTTCAAGCGCTGAGGGTGGAGTATGCTGCTATTTTGGGTGGCACTAAGGGCTGACTTCTCTTGGTCCCACCCCTTTCATCCTCAGCCCCAGCCTTTCCAGGGCACCAAACCAGACCCCCCACATTTTGCCCCAGGGCCCATGGTGGCTGTGGCCCAGCTGTAAGTTGGAGAAGGGGTACTGTGACTCAGCATTGCTTGAGGCAATGTCATAATTACTGTGTCAGTCATGCTTTTGATCCACTGATTGTACATGCCTATGGGCCATGTCTTCTGAGGGTAGGGCCATTCAGACAAACACTACTCTAAAGGAGAGGCAGGGTGTGGAGACAGCTGTCTTACTTACCTATCCTGGTATCCGGTGACTGATGTGTCAGTGGGCTGACATGTGGACATATACTGTACACTCAGGGGGAAGAAATTTTACACGGGCCCTTCATGATCCACTGGGGTCATCTGTCTTCTGACCCTAGGAATGTGTAAAAGAGTGATACATACACAGTCAGAATCAAAAATTTTATGTTCAATTTCTGTTCTCTTTTTTTCCCCATAGAAATTTGTCCAGAACACAAAACAGCAGTTTCGTTTCCCTTACACTCCTGCAACTATGCCAACCCTCACCATTCTATCATGTATAGAGCTGGTCAGAAACGGGAGGCAAGAACTGAGAGGCAGTGGGTTGTCCAGTAAAAGGACATTGAACTATGACTCAGGGACCTACTTTTACTTCCTGGAACCCCTGCTGTGAGGTCTTGGCAACTGCTTTTACTTCTCTGTGACAGGACTGGTTGAATATTTTCTTTCCCATCTTTTTTTTTTCCTGATAGAATATTTGGCTTTCAAGGCATTTTAAAAATATTTCTTCAGAGACTGAAAACTTGAAAACTGAAAATGTTTGAATTTGGGGCCACTTTTGGCTGAAAACATTTGGTTTACAGCATTTTACAGACCAAAACTTTTGGTTTTCAGGGGGTTCTTTTTAATGAAAAGTCACAGTTTTCTGAGGAAAAATAACCATTTTCTAACTGTCTCTCCTTCCATTTTCCCTCCCACCTTTTGTTTGTTTTGTGTATATATATTTACTACAGGCCATGTCTACACTACAGGCTTCTTGTGCAAGAAGCTTTTTGCCAAAGAGATCTTCTGCAAAAACTTCTTGCACCAGAGCATGTCCACACTGCAAAAGTGCATCAAAAAAGCAATGCGCTTTTGCACAAAAGAGCGTCCAGACTGCATGGACGCTCTCTCGAAAGAAAGCTCTGATTGATATTTACAGAATAACCACCAAAACACCTGTGCTTTTTTCGACTGGCTCTTTTTGCGCCAACAAAACCCTGCTGCCCATCCACATATAATAATAAGAGGATTTTTTTTTAAATTGGAAATAAAAACACTTTTGAATTTTCTTAAAATGTACAATTTTTGTCAACCTGTTCTAGTTAATAAAATGAAGTCAATATGTAATTCTTTTTTTTTTTCTGAAATGCTGAAGTATCTAATGGCTGTGAACGGGGTGGGGGCAGAAACTACTATTCCGTTTAAAAATGTTTTTGTAATTTATGGCAGGAATAAAACAATCAAAGACAACTTCCCTCATTGATTAAATATATCTGTGGACCGTTGCGCAGATGCAAAAATGTGTATCCATATCCACCTCTGTATCCACAAAAATTAGCCTTGGATACCTGTGGATATCTGCAAATTTGCAGGGTATTAGATATAAAATTTGCATCTGCATCCAAAGCTGCAAAAATGAGCCTTGGATATCCATGGATTTGCAGGCCTCTGTAGATTGGGAGTTCCTAGATATAAAATTCTGAAGAGAAAAAAATACTCAACTTCTGGTTTTCCAAATCACTAGTTCCTGCACAGTTTGGCCAATTACGGTATTCCCCATGATTGATTTAAAAATTCTCCTGTGCCCCAGGTGCACACATGTGAAATTTAAGATGAACTTTATCAATCTCCTGTTAATCTGACTGAGGACAGGAGATGTGAAATGAACTAAATCACAGAATCATTGTGGCTGATGGTTTTTACAAAACCCAGATATGTACTGGGCACTTTACAGAACACACAGGTCACTGTGCATATCCCCAGGACATTGCAGGTCAACACCCTGATCCTACAAAGATGATGAGTAAGCAATGTGAACATAACATCCAATGAATCTGAATAGGCCTACTCATACTTCTCAAAGTTAAGCATGTGCTTACGTCTTGTAAACCAAACCTTAACTATCACAGTGGCATATCCAACAGAGGAAAAGGCTGAGCTTATAGGAAAATACTTCACTTTCTGTATATTGGTATATCCATCCTGATGGCTTTTTATCCCTAAGCACTAGCTAGACCCCAGAAAAAACAGCCTTTTTTCCCAAGGCTCAGACACATAATTCTAACACCCTAGCTATGTTAATGTCACCCTATAGCATTAACTCAGACTATAGTGATGGAAGGGTTTTTTCTGTTGCTGAAGGAACTCGACTTCCTCAAGCAATGGTAGCTAGGTTGATGGAATCATTGATTTGTCAACCAACCTGTGTCTACACTGCAGGTTAGGTCAGTAGCTACATCACCGAAGGGGCAGATATTTTGAACCCATAGCTGTAGCTGCGTTGATCTAAGTTTTAAGTGTAGACCAGACTTAGGCATGGGCGGCAGGTGTGCCTTCCCTGGAAAACACTCTCCCTTCAACTGCCCTTACTCCTCGTGGAAGCAGGACTATCAGCATCAACCGGAGTTCCCATCTCAGTTGGAATTAGCATGTCTTCACTAGACTCATTAATTCGAACCCTGGAAGATCGACAGCAGCAGCTTCAATCTTCTCTGTAGTGTAGACGTACCCAGAGTGACCAGCTGGAGGCATGAGTGCTCCCCTGGTGACACACACACACATATAAATTAGAAATGGAGAAGAACTGTTAGGTCATCTACTCCATTTTCCTGCCAGTGAAGATTTATTCCCTATAATTTCTGGGTCCTCCTGACTACAGGACTTGTTTAATCTCATGGATCAGACTTTTCATTGATGGGGATTAAAATATGAGTACATCATGTAATAAGCAAGAAGCTCATAAAATATGCGCAAGGAACATAGACGTGCCTAAACATATTAAGTAAAACACATCTTTCAGTACCGGTTCATCCATTTGGGAGATTGCAAAGGAGTTATTTTAGCAGCCTTCCTCATTCACTTAAGCAGTGTGTGTAATAAAGGGAACAAAATTCAGCCTGCTGTCTTCCCTTACTCCCAGTTCTGCTTTGCGAGTGCCTATTACTGACCTGTTTACCTGTGTGTTCTCTATGGTTCTGTGTTCAAGTGGAACAGATGTTCCTTCCCACAAGTAAAAACTGGTGCAGGGCCACCATTAGCTCATTTGTTCCTGGGTTCATGTATACTGGCATTACAGCACTATTGCTTCAGAAGCTTTACAACACGTTTCAAGCAGCCACCTAGAGCCAGGCAGAGATCCTTAATCTCCTTGCCATCTGGGTGGAAGGGTCAGTGCAGCAGGCTCATACCACCACAATAAAGATGTGTTTGCAGACATTGCTAGTCAGCTGTCTGCTAGGGGTCACTGACTTCCCAGACACTGACTAGTGCAGGACAAAGAGCAAACAGCTCAGCAGAGCCTACATTAAAAGGGAGGGAGCCTCTGGCTGTGGAAGTGAGGCTTGTCTTTTTTTTTTTTTTTTTTTTTAAGGAATGAAACTAAACAGGATTTTGAGCAATTACATCATTACCAAACCCAAGAAGGTTTTGGAATCTGCTGCTCAGCCAGCCTCCTCCCCAGGATGAGCAGCAAAGGAAGAGGAGCATGTGAAGGTCAATGAAAAGCTATCTCTGGGAAGCCAGGCTCTCTTTGGGACTCAAGACCCCGAGGGCAGCCATGTAGGAAGCAAGCCTGATTCCTAGCCAGAGAGACAGGCTGGGAGTGAGGAGGCACATGCTATGGAGGGGATCTTGGCATGTAAGCATCTATCTTGGGTCACCCTAGCCTCCTTGTTTGTTCAGCACCCTATACATTTTCAAAGTAGCAGCTTGACCAGCCAACCAATTGGTTTCTGTCTCATGCTACAGCCCTATTGACTGTTTCCAAGCTCTCACCAAGGAATGCAGATATCCATCAATTTTTCTTTCTACTTCCCGCATCTGTGATGCCTACTGAATCTCTCTCCTGTCCCCACCACCACCTCAAACAAACTTCACCTACTCTAAAAGACAGTCAGCAACATGGTCCAGTCTCTACCCAGTGTCCCTTTAACACCTCTCCTGGGGCATATACAAATACAGTAATACTCCAATAGTCCAGCATCCAATAGTCCAGCACGCCTGATAGTCCGGCATCAAAATGGCAAGAGCCTAGGGAGTGAGCTTCAGCAAAAAATGAGTCACAAGGTAACAGCGACAGCAGCTAAACTGAGCAAAAAGTGTAAAAAAGGCTTAAAAACCTAAAACATTACAGTATACTGTATACAGTATGTACAATAAAAGGGTTAAGAACAATTTATATACAGTATATAATGTATACAGTATATATATAACCAGTTTATAGTACCTCCTGATAGTCCGGCATATCTGATAATCCGGCACCACCTAGGTCCCATAGGTTCCGGATTTTCGGAAGTCTACTGTATTGAAAACATTCAGTTGGGCAAAATTCCACTCCACTGAGACTGTGGTTACAAAGAAACAAGTTTGGTTAGTATTCTCTGTTTACATGAGGTGGACATGGGCATTGCATGCCCTTAAAGCTACTAAAACTGAGGTATAAATGTCCTGTAACACAAATTCACACAGAACAAAAGTTTACTTCTAGAATAGGAAAGGATAGCTCTTCAGAGCTTTTCACAGGCATACCTAGAGAAAGCCTGAGAGCAGTTAAAGCTTCAAACAATCAGTGCAGAATCCCATCTATTTTTCTCTGCACTGTTGGTAGTTCTGCAGGAGAAATAAAGCAGAATCTAAAGACTGAGATATTGCTGTCCTGGAGCACATGCTGCTAGCATGCACAGATAATCCAGTGTCCTCAATCAGGACTCAGTCATGGTCTGCAGCCCCTGGATAATACAGGTCACTGGGAATACCAGAATATGTTCTTTGCTGTGTCCTCCAGGCACTCTCCAAGAGTCCACCCTCTACTCCTCTCTGCCCAAGCTCAGGGCAGAGAGGACAATTTTGTTTGAGAGCTCAGTTTTTCTGAGCCATCTGATGCACTAATAACCCAGCTCCAACACTTGACACCAGCAGGCCTAAGAAAAAGAAGTGTGCTAACTGGTGATTTGGAGCTCCCATTCTGGACCCGCTGTCACCATTAGTGCATTCTGCCCTGCCCTGCACAAAGGGAGTCATTTTAAAGCTTTGGCTCATTTCTGTTTTAATTGCCAGATTATTTCTGGGTGATATTGAATAAATTGTAGTATAATAATAAAAACAATTCAATTTCAGTCAGACAGTGCTG